CACACACACACACACACGCACATGCATACAGGCATGCACGCGCACGTGTCCCTCTCTCTCCCTCCCCAACTGCTGCCTCAAATTTTTACGTCTCAGTTTAAGTGTTACTTCTCCACATACTCAAAGGCAAGGTGTGGATCCCATGTTATATTATGTGCTCATTACACACTGCATTTTTCCTTGGTAATACTAGTCACAAGTGTAAGTAAATTATCCTGTTTAATATCTACTTCCACAGGAAAATTATAAGCTCCATGAAGAAGGCAGGATGATCTTTGTTTCATTCATTCTCCTATTCTCTGTATTCAAAACTGTGCCTCAATTAGAGCCTCCTTTATTTTAAAAACATGAAGAAATGAAAGACTTATAATACAAGAAGCAACCCAATGAATCCCAAAGCAAGATTCTTGATTTCATAGAAAACTACATACTTCACAAAAAGATACCACCTTATAGATCTAGCAGGTACCAGACAATCAGATTGAGTCAAAATTACCTCACTGTACCAGCTATAAAAAGTCAATAATGCTCAAATATTTACTGAGCAGCTAGGTCTTAAGTTCTAGGTATTATATATGAAGTAAGACAAATAGTCTATCAAAAAGCAAATCAAAGAAAATTAATTTCAATCTTCTACTGCTTTAAAATCTTTTTCTTCTTTTTTGAGGAAGATTAGCCCTGAGCTAACATCCCCCACCAATCCTCCTCTTTTTGCTGAGGAAGACTGGCCCCGAGATAACATCTGTACCCATCCTCCTCTGCTTTATATGTGGGATGCCTGCCACAGCATGGCTTGATAAGTGGTGTGTAGGTCCACGCCCAGGATCCCAAGTGGCAAACCCCAGGCACTTGAAGCAGAGTGTACAACCACCCACTACACCACTGGGCCGGCCCTTTAAAATCTTTAAAGTCGGAGGTACATAAATACACACACCTGCTGGCTACTGTGCTGATCAGGTGCACCCAATTTTAAAGACCACAATAAATCGACCACCTCAGTTGTTCATCTTATTTCACTGGTTTAAAAAGTGAAATGGGGAGTGGAAATCCACTGTCATTAAACCCTCAAGTCAAAGCACATGCCCTCCTAATGAGTCCAAAATGGCCAAATGGGTTACACTGTATACAGGCTTTATTAAATTCTGGTTCTTTTTATTTATAGAATGATAACCTAATTATACCGAAAATTTTTTCAAGTTTTTACCCCTTCCAGTTATGATACAATGAATACATCTTCCATTTCTAAATATGGTCATGAATAGCTTCTTCAAAGTGAAAGTCTAATTACCTGCAGTGTTCTCCACTAAAGAAGCAAATGAAATTATTATAGACTTACATCCAAAATTGAAATAACTATTAATAAATATTTACGACTCAGACCAGAACCTATTTGAATTGATAACTTAGATAAAAATAATCCACCCAAATGGCGGAACTCAGCTTATTAAGATGCACAGCATGGCATGGGGTAACGGGCTTCCAAGAAATCTCAGCTTTGTGACCTTGAGGCAATTACTCTGCTGTGAAAATAACCCAGAACTCTACAAAGCTTGGTTATAATTACGTGTGTGCCCAATAGGATACAAACATGTACTCCTCAGGAAACAGATGTATTTCACTCTACATGACAGCCACATTTACAGACACAAAGCTTTACATATAATTATTTTAATACCAGGTTATTTATACTCATAAAGATTATTAAAAGCAATCATATGAGGAACTATCTAATGGTAATATTACCTACCCCCCATCCCCCAAAAAGACACACTTTTTATAAAAGATTTTCAGACTGGGTTTTAATTGAGGTATTTATCTAGATACAATATAAAACTAGTTCAAGTCCAATCTCACTTATTTCATCAAACTGAACTTGAAATTACATTTTTATTAGCCTTTTGATTGAAGAATTTAACATCAAAGAATTCTACTAACACAATGTCATTCCACAGCATGTACTAACTCCTTTTAATGAAACAGGCTGTCACAGGAATTCAGTTGAAAGACTTATCCAAAACTATACAGAATAGCATAGATAGGGCTTATCTCATTAAAAGTTACATTTTAGTAACACTATATCAAACAGTAAACACATATTAACCAATGCCTATTTTGGTGACCTTAAAGAACCTAACTATATACATTATCTCCAAGTAGTATATTTTATTAGGATATTTTGTATTTTTTTCTTAAAAGTCTCCAATGCTAGACATGGAGAAATACTGGACTGAAATTAAACATCTAGTACACTTGGAATGCATCAAAGTTTGCCTATATCGGAAAGTCCAGTTCTCTGATAACACTCACAAGGCTCCACCCACTAACATTTCCACAATCACAAAAAAAGCTATGTCACTGCATCAAAGTACCAGATAAAAACAAATCCATTTAAAGTTAGCAAAACACCACGTTATCCCCAATTAAACCTCGGTAGTAAGAAACAGTGACTAAGCGTAATGAACAGTGATTCAGCGAAAACTGCATAGTGAAGAGCCGAACCCTTAGAAAAATCCTAAACGTACATGTTACTCTTGTCCTTTTGCGGCGTCCACAATTGGGCTGCTGCGGAAGACCTTAACGAACATGAGCAAATGCAAAATTTGTTAATGTAAATTTACTAGGTCTCTAAAGGGCACAACGCAGCACTGAAATGTAGCAAACGGAAATTAACATTTAGAAAGTTTGGGGTTTTGCATTTAAAGAGTCTTAAGTTAATCTACACTGATATCAGAATGGTCATAAAAAACTTCATCTTGGATCTGACTCAACAAAGTAATTACGGAATAAAAGGTCAAGTGCTTCCCAGGCATCTTTTATCTGGGACTGACGACACGGCTCAGCAAGACAAACAGGGAGACGAGGGACCGGGAACGGGGTACGAGAGCCACGGCGAACGCACACCGTTCCGTCGTCTGTCTATTCTCCCAACACTGACGTTAAAAACAGACGCAAAGGAGGTTCCCCGGAATTCAACGTCCAGCCGCGGCCCCTTCCGAGCGATGCGCTTCCACGGGACAGGACACGGTAACTCGGAACCGGGCATGCCCCCCAGGTCCGGAAAATCCCGACGCTCCCCTTGAACAGGCCCGAGGCGGCCACGAAGATCCCGACTTCCATGAATGGACAAGTCGCCAGCTCGCCCGTCCGAGGGGCCGGCTGAGGATGCCTCCAGCCCCACTCGACCCGTGGTCCCCAACAACGCCGGCTTCCAAAGGCAAAGGGAAGGGCGGCCGGGCTCTCGAGGCTCCCCCAAGTCCAACTCCTGCCTCGTCCTCCCCGCACACACCCGCCAGCCGGGGCGCCATTTGCTGACCGCCCGGCCGGAGCCCCGGCGCGGACGCCCTCCCGGCGCCGCAGGCCCGCGGGCCCGGTCCGCTGCGCCCCGGCCGCCGCCCCGCGGGCGCCCACACTCACCGGCCGGCGCGGCCGGACCGCGGCCCAGGCCCTGGCTGCCGTGGCCGCCGTGCCCGGCTGCCCGCGCTGTCCGCCGCCGGCGCCCCGCACCCCGCGCAGTCGGCCGCTGTCCGGCGCCGCCGCCTTTTCTCTCCTCCGCCTCCGCCTCCAGCTCTCCGGCCTCCGCCCCGGGCAGCCGCCCTCCTCGCGCCGCCCCGCCCCGCCCCGCTCGGCGCCGCCCCGCCCACCCGGCCCGCCTGGCCTCGCCTCGCCTCGCCTCTCCTCGCTGGCGGCGGTAAGCACGGCGGGGGCGCGCACGCCGAGCCCGACGGAGACGCGCACGCCGAGCCCGACGGAGACGCGCACGCCGAGTCCGGCGGGCACGCGCACGCCGCTCACGGGCCCCAGAAGTGACGTGGCTGAGAGTCCGGCGTGCGGTGCTCTGTGCTCCGTGCGTCCTGCGAGGTGGCTTCCCCTGGGCTCTCGGTGGCCGTCCCACGGCGGCGCCGCCGAATCCTGTTGGGTTTTAGAAGCGTGTATTCGGAGAGGAATCCGAGACCCGTAGCTTTGGCACTGAGGAAACAGGCCCAGGTCGAGCGACTTGTCTGCGCCCTGGATTGGAGGAGGCGCAGCGCTCGTCCCGTTCGGTCCTATTTAGGAGGAAGCCCGGTGACTCCCGCTGGGGCTTTGATGGGCGCCGCCGCCCCTCCGTCCCCGCTGACTCCGTGCGCCCGAGTCCCGCGATTGGCGCCCGCACCCGGTGGGTCCGCCTCGGGGGACCGAGCTCAGCCCGGGATGCGGGCGGCGGGGAGCCCCCGAGCTCCGCTCCTGGGAGGCGCTGGAGCCTTCACACAGCCCGCGCCAGCCCCTCAGTCTAGCCGAAAGGTGGCTTGAAGCCGCTTTTGCAGGATACTTTACATAGGACGAGGATTGAAGAAATGTCCCACGGCAATTTCAAAGAATTGGGACCCCGATGCTACCACCAAGCCTTGGTCTAAGGCCGAGGACAGAAGGGACAGATTCAAAGTGCTGGGTGGTGGGTGGCCCTCCTCTCACCCCACCCCAATGTCCATCCTGCGGGCTCCTGTCCAGTCCTAGCTCACAAGACAACTGTGATAATGAGAAGATACCTGTAATCCTGGCCTTGAGGGCGGAGACAGGAAAACACTGTTGTCATCTTTTTTTGTGGCTAAATTTTTGCCCTCAACTCGTGTCTTGGGAAAGACAAATCACATATAGCTTGCCATCCTGCAGAGAAATCACTCTCAGGCTTTAGATTTTTAAAGACCAGTTGAAAAAAAAAAAGCTGAAGAAGGAACTTACATTACTAGTTTTTTATTGTGCTAAGGCAGTAAAAATTTCATCACTCATATTAGTGCCTCAATTCGTAAATCAAAGGAGAGTTTAACACCAATTATTAGCAAGGACATAATCACAGAGTAAAGATCAGTTCTTTATTTTGGTGAGGAAGGGTGGTCCTGAGCTAACAGCTGTTGCCAATCTTCCTCTTTTAGCTGAGGAAGATTTTCGCTGAGCTAACATCTGTGCCGATCTTCCTCTCCCTTGTGTGGGATGCCGCCACAGCGAAGAGGTGCAGGATTCGAGCGTGTGAACTTAACCACCATGCCTCCGGGCCAGCCCCAAAGGGTCAGTTCTTTAAATGAGTAAGTTAAGCTTTGAAAAATTCACTCTGTTTTTCTTATTTTGTTTAATTTGGCTGCAACTGGACCCTGGTCCTCAGTCCAGAGTTTGAAAGCCACTGTCCAGAAAACTAGTTAGAAGGGATAGTGAGGCAGGCAGGATGAGCTGGTGGGACGGAACGTGGCTGCTGCTGCACTCTTGTCCTACTCTGCTCACTGTCCTGGACTGTCACAGGTCTTCCCTTGCCTCAGTTGCCCTCCTGAAAAATGAAGGGGCTGGAAGAGATGCTCTCTGTAGCCCCTGCAGCTTTAAAATCTCATTATTCCACAGTTGGACTTATTGAAATCTGGGGCTTTCCTCTTCACTAAGTCACATAGCTGGCCCTAGGTCACTCCCACTCCCTCAAGCTGAGTCATTCAGGCTGTAAACCTCACAGTTGTCTTTGCCCTCTGCATCTCCATAATTTTCCATGCCCTGGCAATCAAAAAAAAAAAAAAAAAAAAGCCTTTCTTCCTGTCTTCCACATTCTTTCCATCCTAGCTACCATCCTAGGCAAATTTGGATTTCCGCGGTTGCCTTATCGGTCTTTTCTCCTTGAGTGCTTCCCACCTCAAACCCACCACCAACACAGCTCTTCCTAAGACATCCATTTCAGGTATCTTTTGACGGCTGTCTAATACCCATTAGGTCAAGTCTCAACTGTCTTCAATTGCTCCAAGTAAATCTTTCACTCTGGCCTGATTAGTTTCCTTCTTTTCTCCACCAAATATTATACACGGTCCAATTGCAAGTCTCCTGTGCTCGTAAAATGATAATGCCTGAAGCTCCTCCCTCTTAACTGTGCAGCTCTAACTCCACGTCCACCGTGAGGGGCTCCTCTAGCACGTGCTGTCTGTTTTCAGCTCTTTGACGTCACCTTATGACATGTCACCTGTCTCACAAATCCACATCACCTTGCGGATTACCTCCAAGCCCACGGGAGCATGCTTTGCAGTGCGTTTGTGTCTTCCCCTTGGTACCTAGTACACCTCTGTGTATATTGTAGATGCTTAGTGAATATTTGTCACTTCAAAAATAGGGTGAATAATTCTCTCACTTCATCCCAGCCCCATTTTCATTTTCTGTCCTATATTCTAACTCCTCAGAGAACCTTCTCTTGGTGCCTTTTCAAGGAAATGTATCTAAAACTTCAGTGGCAAGCAGAGAGAATGCCAGGAATCATGTTTCCTCAAACATGATGTCCTCTCTAGTATACAAGTATTGGACACAAATTTCTAGAGCAAAGCTATCATCTGTGTGGCTTAACCACCCAGAGGAGTGACAGGGACCCTGGGAATTTAAAAGAAAAAGGGAAGAAAGGGCTGTTTGCCCTACCTACTGCCTTAAAAAAGAGGGCCTTGCATCTCCTCCAATGACACTTTGCAGGCCGCCTCACACAGGCGTAGACAGGACATAGCTCCTAGTGGCTTTTTCTAGAAGCCATTTTCAATTTGGGGAAGGTGTAAGAGCCCTATTACCACAAACAGAAGTACAAAGCGTAGACACAGGACTAGATTGTAGGAGAGAGAAATTGTCAGAGAAAGCAAATGCAGTTAATAAAGCTAATTCTACAACCAGACAAATTGCTCTTTCCTTTGTTCAATGTCAGGGCAAATAGCATCAGGGTACAAGCAGGTTTTCTTTCCCAATTAGATCAGCCTACACTCAGGTAGCCCAGGGACCCAGGCAACAGATAAGTTAGGACTAAAGTTTAAGTCATGGGCTAATTAAGGAAAGCATCATTGGCCAGAAACCAGTGTGAGAGAGTGGGGGCTGATTTGCAGCTGTGAAATCATGGGGCTATCGGAATTACCAGCTGGGATGCGGTGGGAAATACCATTCCTCTTTTATAATAGGCTCCTAAGGAATTACAAGAGAGAAAGCGTCAGTTTGAATCACCTAATTGCCTGGGTTTAGAATCTAATAGCTGTTATTATATTGCCTATATATGTTTATTTGAAGTATGAAGAATATGACAATTAACATACAATTATATGGTAATTTAGAAACAACCCGCCAAGGATAATGTTCATAACCCCAAATCAACCTTGCAATTTTATATAAATAATCAAGGGAATTTGAACCAAGGCAGCTTGGAATGTTGGGAAAAGTAGAAGACCTAGATTTGTTCCTGTACACCACAGACTTGCTCTAGGACATTGTTGAAATTATCTATCGTGTGCATTTCAGTGTTTCACAATTTGAGTTATTATAATTAGATGTATTAATATGGTTCTTAGCATACCAGATATATGTCCGTTGACCAAATAAAGGAACAAATGAATAATTTTATTCCCAAAAAGGCTGTTGAGAGCCGCCAAGGCATTGTATTTCTATTTCAGGTAGCTACCATTAGGTGGAACTAGTGTGCGCGTGAGCAGATAAGCAGGCAGCTTCCCTCAGGTGGGAGTCATACAGATGTAGTCTTAATTGCCTACAAATGTGTATGTAACTTTGTTAAGCTAGCAGCCCTTTTGGGGAGTAATACTTAATTTCTGTGTATAAATTTTACACTTTTCAAAGAAATTTGATATAGATTAGATACCTGGGAGAAACCACTTTTAGTTTATCCCATAAATGAGCTGACTGTTCAGTTCTCAGGCCTGCCGTACTCTCTGTTCAGTTGCGGTGATAGCAAAGTCGAATGCTTACAGCTGAATGCCACACTGGTAACAAGAAGTCGGCCCAAAGGGAGTTGCTGAAATCAGACAAGCACATTGTTACTAAATTGTCCCTTAGCTCTAGTCAATAGCTATTACCATCTTAAAATGGAGGGAATAGTGTTACCATACTTTCTGATTGTTTTTTTTAAAGCTCCTGGAAATCTAGATAACTGTGTTAAAGCCACATAACGTTGTTTTCAAATTTTTTGAAAACCTGTATGGGGAAAAAAATCAACAACCACAAAAAAGCCCACGTCTTCACCAACCCTTGTTTTAGTGTCTCATCCAAAAGGTAATAAAACAGACAGACATACTTGTTTCTATAGGTAGCCTGGTTTCCAAACCATTTGAGTCTCACTTTCCTCTTGAGCTAGATTTCCTGTGTTCACATGCCAGCTTAATTGTCTATGAGTTGTTAATCCTCAGTTAAATGCTATAGATTGAATGTTTGTGTCATCCCAAAATTCATATGTTGAAACCTAATCCCCAAGGTCATGGTATTAGGAGATGGGGCCCTTAGGAGATGGTTAAGTCGTGAAGACAGAGCCCTTGTGAATGGGATTAGTTGTTCTTATAAAGGAGACCCCACAGGGATCCCTTGCCTCTTCTCCCATGTGAGATTATAGAGAAGCAAGCTCTCACCAGATGCTGAATCTGCCAGCGCCATGATCTTGTACTTCCCAGCCTCCAGAACTGTGAGAAATAAATGTTTGCTATTGGGGGCCATCCCCGTGGCCGAGTGGTTAAGTTCACACACTCTGCTTTGGCAGCCCAGGGTTTCACCAATTCAAATCCTGGGTGTGGACCTGGCACTGCTCACCAAGCCATGCTGGTGGCCTCCCACATGCCACAACTAGAAGGACCCACAACTGAAAATATACAATTATGTACTGAGGGGCTTTGGGGAGAAGAAAAAAAAATGTTTGTTATTTATAAGCCACTCGGTCTCTGGTATTTTATTATAGCAGCCCAAAAGGGCTAAGACAGTGTCACTTAACCTCTCGCTATGTGGCGCACACACTCCAAGATAGCCCCTAAGGACCCATGTCTCCTATTATGCACACATTTGTGTTTTCTCCTCTCCTTGTAACTTGCTTCTAGCAAATAGAATATGTCAAATGTGTTGGGCTATCTCTTCCACAATTAGGTTACAAAAGATTGTGACTTTTGTCTTGATGGCAGTTTCCCTTGCTGACCTTGATGAAACAAGTCATCATGTTGGGGAGGCCCATGGAGCATGAAACTGAGGGTGTCCACTGGACAACACCAGCTGGGCATCCTCAATTCAATGTCTCAAAAGAACTGAATCTTGCCAACAACCATGTACATGAGATTAGAAGTGGATCCTTTCCCAGTTGGGCCTCCAGATGTGACCTGAGCCCTAGCCTACACCTTGATTGCAGCCATGTGAGAGACTGAAACCGAGGCCCCACTAAGCCATGCCCCCACCCATAGAAAATGTGGCATAATAAATGTTAGTTGTTTTAAGCCACTCAATTTGTTGTCATTTGTTGCATAGCAATAGATAACTAATATACCACAGCTTACTTTTCTCATCTCTAAAATGGGAAAGATAATAGCACTGCCCACTCACCCCCCAACACAGGCTATTGTGAGGTTTAAATGAGTTCCTCGTGTAAAGTGCTCAGAACAATGCCAGGCACATGAGCACTTAGTAGTGTTGGGCGTCTTGTCCGCAGGCAGATCCCAGAAGTGAAGTCACACATCTTAGCAAGGAAGGTGCAGTAGGCAGCTGAGAGACCTGTTTCAGTGCTGCTTCAGGCCCAAGTGACAAATTGTGACATCGTGTTGGGCAGAGGGGAATTTGTTCCCATTTCTGTACTACCATGGGCAACTTTGCTGCAGAGCCTAACAGAGCTGAGGGGTACATATGGAAGCCAGGAGGAATGTCCTCACAGAGGGCAGAGGTTCAGCCTCTCCCTTGAGGCACTGGGCAATGAGGAAGACGCCAAAGCAGAAGATCATGAGTGGATTTATTCCTGAGCACATGTGACAAACTCCCTGGGAAAATCCAGAAACAGCTGAGTCAGCCTGTGAGACGAGGCTCTGAAGGGTAGTGGGTCCTGACACTAAGATTTGTAGCTGAATTCTTCCATTAAGCCTTGTAGTATCAACATGGTAACCCCAAATGGCCCAGAGGCAAGGTCTGTTGTCTATCTTGTTTATTCCTGTATCCTCAGGACCCAGGGGAGTAGGATATAGTTAAATGTTTGCTAAACGACATTTGTGTTACCGCAAGAATTGTGAGTTATTACTTCATACTTTGAGATGGCAGCACAGTTTTCTTCAACAGACCTTTCTCTTGCCTGACCTTACACTTTGATAATAAAGGAAAGAGGATGCTTAATGACATTGCGCTAGAACCTCACCTGCCCACAGCTACCTTGGCACATTTCACGGGCAAACTGGTCCTGAAAGTAATGGGTTATCTTTCACTCCAGTGAAATATCTGAGGCGACAAGCTAAGTTAATTTGTTGTGCTAAGACAGAATATTTCCTGAATAAATACATTAACCAGCATTACTTCCATTTCTCTTTAGTTATACAAACAATTCAGGTTGTGTTCAGAACATGGAAGATGGAGTTGGAGAAAAGAGATATGTGTCAGCAAAGCAATAATTATGAGTTGACATTAATGATCACTCGATGTAGGTCAATTCGTTGCATTCTGAAAGACTCTATCACATAAATCTCGAAAGTGAAAATGCAGACTGAGAGGAATTTTCCCATTAAAAGAAGAATTAGGTCTTATAGAGCATGGATGAGAGAATGGTAAGACCTAGAAAGCGAGAGTGGGCCTTTCTAATTCTCTCCTCCAGGATACAAAGGATTACAGGCTGAGAATGCTCTCCATTCCCTATCAGCTTACAAAGCTGAAGCTAGTGTCTGGCAAATGGCCCCCTGGTTCCTCTCCGGACTGACTCTCCCTTGAAGAAAACAAAACTCTAGGAAAGATATGTGTCTTTCTGCCCTTTCCCTCAAGGTTGGGAGGTCTGAGCTCTAATCACCTGTGTGAAAGACAGGTCTTCTGGGTGGAACACAAAATTACCAGTGTGCTCCTCCTCTGATTATGAGGTCTTCTAGAATCACCTATTAAAAGACAGATCACCCTGGACTAGGCAGGACGTTATTTAGAAGGGTTATGGACAGTTGGTAGCAGAAGAAGATCTGAAGCATGAGAATGGGAGATTCTCAAGGCCTCAGGATGGCAAAAGGATTGCACGTGGAGGTAGAGACCTCCAAATTGAACTCTGGAAGTTCACCTCCTATCTGTTCCACCTGTGGACTCTGATGAGAAGCTAAATCTCCCACCCAGCCATCTAGGTCTAGCTCGGCGTCTGTTTCTTTTTCTCATAAGAATTGCGCATTAAGGGGTGGTACAGTCAGAACTGCACAGGATGCAATTCTGACATCAACATCCTCAATTTGCCTTGATATTCTCGGGAAAATTTTTCTCCATGTAGAAGTTTTATTGAGTTTTTGGACACAAATGAAGAACAAAAGTCAATTGCCCTTGATATTTTCACAGAAATTCTGGAGCTGGCTTCCCTGACATTTTATGTTCCCCAAGGCATTATGACTTTTCATATCACCCATATTTTCTAAGTAGGAAGGACAAGTAAAATCAATTTCTGGGCCAGGACTCAAGTCTAGGATCTGACTCCCGCACACTTTGACTTAATTAACAAGATATTGAAAACAAACACACTCATACAAAAACTAAATTAATGCTAAATTGACTTGTAGTTCACTTATCAGATGCTTAATTTCATTTCCAGCTTGAAATGGAAAGATCTAAGGCAGGTCCACATTGGTCATTCTTTAAGGCCTATGTCACCACAACACAAAACCTTATCATCTCTTTCAGTTGCCTAATCTGTCCCCAAGTCTCTTTGAAACATTCCAGAGTTGATTGAACTGACCACACCCTGATTCTGCAATGACCGCTGCTCAGCGTATATTATGCAGAGAAATACGATGAACAACATATGTTTCTATTTCTTCCCTTCCTTAGTGAGGCCACACAATAATGTTCCTTGGAGAAATAGAACTGCCTGATGCCTCAGCCCTGGAATAACTTTCAGTTGCTTCCCACATTTGGTAAGATGCTTTTAATGTTTGTGAAATAGGGGAAAGCAGGCTTCAGAAAGAGACAGAACGCAAACGGAACTTTTCAGGGCTGGCCTTAATGAAAAGTACATCAGAGTAAATGTACCTGATCTAATTGTTGCAGGAGCTCATGGTCAGGAAGGCCCTGACTTGGCGTGATATGAACAGCAACACCAAAGCATCCTTTTGAGTTGACCTAAGATGTCTGAAAAAATATGGATCTCAGGATCAGGGATAAGGGGTGGATAATAAGTGAATTGACAGGGGGCTGGCCCAGTAGCACAGTGGTTAAGCTCGTGCACTCTACTTCAGTGGCCTGGGGTTTGTGGGTTTGGATCTCAGGCACAAACATACATACCACTCATTAAGCCATGCTTTGGCAGTATCCCCATACAAAAAAAAAAAAAAAAAAATAGGCGAAGATTGGCACAGATGTTAGCTCAGTGAAAATCTTCCTTAAGCAAAAAAGGCAAGATTGGCAGCAGATATTAGCTCGGGGCCAATCTTCCTCACCAAAAAAATAAATAAATAAAAGAATTGATGGAGAGGGGAGCTGGTCAAGAAAATCCTTTTATTCCCTATGGGCCCCCAAGGCATAAGCAAACCTGTGAATACCCACAACTTCCTGCCTCAGCCAGACTTTGCTTCGGTAGGAGTATGTGCCCTGAGCCGGAAGGGATGGGACTGTCCCACACAACAGGTGAGGAAACATATTCTTACTTTCCATTCCTGTGCTCTGTCTTCCACCCTTGAAGTCCTGGCTTGGACACTGTGGTTTGCTGCCTTGTTTTCAATAGCAGAGGCAAGTCCTTCCCCTAAAACTCACAGGAGTCCATTTTGATAAGTACAATTGAACTGGCCTAATTTTTAAGTGAAGAGTACCTTACATTTGCATAAAACATTTAAAACTATTTAAAACCATTTTTAACCAATTATTGTAGCTTCACTGTCGATCTTGTGAGTTACTCAAGTTACTTAGCATTTGAGGAAATAGGGACAAAGAGCATTTTTTTTTTAATGAACTTTTTAAAAAAAATCTTCTAGTATATATTTTTTTTAAGTTATGCTTTTTGGAGAAGAAGATTGGCCCTGAGCTAACATCTGTTGCCAATCTTCCTTTTTTGTTTTCTCCCTAAAGCCCCAGCACATAGTTGCATATCCTGGTCATTCTGGTTCTTGTATGTGGGATGCCAGCACAGCATGGCTTGATGAGCGCTGCATACGTCAGTGCCCAGGATCTGAACCAGTGAACCCTGGGCCGCCAAAGCAGAGTGTGCAAACTTAACCTCTAGACCATGGGGCCGGCCCCACAAAGAGCATTTAAGTGAGCCCTACTCTGGGCCGCACAACCAAGAACGGGAACTAGAGCTGGGATCTCCTGATTCTGCCTTGGCTCACTTTCAGGAAGAATATGAGCAAACAAGTTGCACCACAGAGATGATTAACCCATCATTTTACAAATGCAGACACCAAATGCCTGCCCAAGGCCCGGTGTTAATCATTGCAGGGTCAGAACAGCCAGGACTCAGCAAGCCTACTGTCTGGTACGCACACGACTTCAATGCAGCACCTTACATTAAAAAGAGCAACATACCCTGCAGAGCTGATACCTCCTGCTTTCAGAGCGTTTGGGATGCTTTCTTTCTGGAGCTGTACGGCTCCCAGCCAGCAATTCTGAATGAGGTGGCCCAGTACGGCCTACTTCTGCATAGTTGCTATACATGCTGTAAGGCTAATAAAAGATCCAGTTTCCTTGCCTGGAAGTGAAATGATAACTTCTCAGGATGGCAATGGGTGGAAATCGTTAAAAACTTTGAGTTTCCTTGTGCATGGAGAGAAGAGGAAAGGGGAGAGAGAATTATAGAGGATTTGCGGGATGAAAAGATTTGGAACTAGAGCCTGAACCCATGCAGGCCTCAAGGATTCATGGGTCAGGGACAAGAGGTTTGGTGAAAGGAGAGAGGTACCATGTTGATTGTGGGGATAAGGACATTCTAGAAGGGGAAACAAACAAAATGCTTCTTCATATTTTTACAGTGGTGCTCAGATCAAGGTGGGTAAAAAGATAATATAGTTTCTAATGTTAGATTGAATGGCACTGCAAAAAATCATCTATATTATAATAATATTTTGCTGTATTTGTGATTTAGAGAACAGTGGCGTCATGTATCTGATTTCATTCACAAATCCATTTAAATAATGAAGAATGCCATAAAAGAGTTCCACTATAAATCACACAGGAAGGAAGCATTACTTACTATTTTTTAATACAAGAAAAAAAATCTTTGAGATCATATTTGGAAATAAGGCATTTAAGCTTTAAGAACAAAATCCAACATCTCTCATAGAAGTCAGTCAGTCCAAATGGTTTACCAATAGTGCTTCTGCAACTTACCCCAAGTAATATTAGTTAAACATTTGGTTAGTATTAATATTAACTTTAGACTCAGAATGAGTTACCGAAAGGGCAAAAACTAAGGAATTTACTGTCATTCAGAAGCGCGGGAGGCCGGGAGGGAAAAGCAGTGCAGTTGGAGTCGGCACCTGAAATACAACCACTTTAAGAACGCCTGGGCTGAGCCTTCTGTGCCGTGAACTCTGGGAGGCCGCATTCTGCTTTGACCTCCCCAACCTCCTGGCCTCTGGCTGCGTGGCCAGCACTCGCATGCCAGCTCTTTCTGGCATGGCTATTGCCAGCTGCCTCCTGCTGTGGCCTGAGCCAGGCTGGCCCTGGTCCACTGGTTTGCTGGTGACTCGGCCTGGGGCCCTGGCTTTCTTGCTCAGCCTCTTGTCCTCCCCAACTCTCTTGGGAATGAAGAACAGAGGCATACTAAAAGCCTGAAGACTGTGTACACTGGGAGGATTTTTTGTGTTAACTAATAAAAGAAACCCCTTTATAATAGTACCCTGTAGCATGAAATCATTAAGTACTGTGTAATAAGATCCTATGTATGTGTCTATTTTCTTCCCCATGAATACATTTGCATTTTCAAGAGTTTGAAGCAAGATTACATGAAATGAAATTCATGCAGTCAGTATAGTCATACTAAATAGAAGAGAGAGATCTAAAACCAGAAGGCAATGAGCATTTCTAATAGTCGAAGTGACAGAAATTTACAGAAGTCCATGGTTGGTACTGAACACCTTAAATTTTTTAGGTTAATGTAGGACTGTGTGGTGAATCCACGTTAATAACGGCTCGGGAGCTCAGGACTTCATGCTTTAATATCAAGCTAGAACTAGTTTAGTGGTGGAGCAAGTGTCTGGAAATGCGAACTGATGCCAGACAGGATGGATTTCCAATTAAGATGTCAGTAGGTGCCATCAAAACCTTCTGGGAATTTAAAAAGCAACTCAACTCATGCTATGAGTTTCCATATTGACCTTGGCTTCTCTGGCAAAGATTTTTTTAAAAAAATTTTTCCATAGGATGAAGGAGTTCTAGTTTTAAAAAATCTTTGTGCATTTAAAAAAAAGCTTTCACTGTTTTAGATACCTCACATAAGTAGAATCATGAGTATTTGTCCTGCAACTGGCTTATTTCACTGAGCAGAATGTCCTCCGGTTCATCCATGTTGTTGCAAATGGTAGGATTTCCCTCACATTTTCTTTATTCAGTCATCCATCAATGGACATTTAGGTTGTTTCCATATCTTGGCTATTACGAATACCACTGTGATGAACATGGGAATGTAGATATCTCTTTAAGATCTTGATTGCAATTCTTTTGGCTATATACCCAAAGTTGTTGCCAGGGGCTGTGGGAGGGGGAAACGGGAGCTGCAGTTTAATTGATATGAAGTTCCAGTTATATAGGTGAATAAATTCTAGAGATCTGCTGTACAATGTTGTACCTATAGTTAACAGTACTGTGTTGTGTGCTTAAAATTTTGGTAAAAGGTAGAGCTCATGTTAAATGTTCTTATCGCAATTTTAAAAAACCATCTTTATTTTTTTTTAAAGGTTTTTGCAAGTTACATCTATGCAAAGGAGTCAGTCCACAAGTTTTAAATCTCCTCACTGTGGAGAGCAGTATTCAGAGCCTGGGCAGAAAGATCATAGTGAGTATTACAAAAATGGTAGATTGCATTGTTACTCAATATTTAGTAAAAGTCTTTAATAAGAAAAGTAACGCAACTTAAATTTCTTTAAATTAGTGTATTTACTTACGTAAACAGTATATAATATACTTCTGCGTTTGTAAGAATTACAAACTGTTAGGTTAATTAGTATTAAAAAAACCCAAGATTTAAAATTTAAAAAAAAATAAATGTTACGTTAGGGAAAATCTCAAACACATTTAAAAGTATAGAGACTAGAATGTAAACCCTCGTATACCCATCACCCAGCTTCAATGACTATAACTTCGTGGACAACCTTGTATTATCAGTACCCCTGCTCTGTGCATCTAGATTATTTAGAAGCCAACTCCAGGCATCGTATCATTTCCTTATGTTTCTCTAAAAGATATGTACTATTTCTTTAAATACATCCACAATATCACTATCACAACACCTTCGAAATAATAACTCAGTATTATCATGAAACATCAGGTCAGTGTTCAAATTACTCCCAATTGTCTTATAAAAATATTGTCTTATAAAAATATTTAAAGTTTTTTTTAATTAGAGGCAAAATTAAATCCATACATTGCCATTGGTTGATATGTCTCTAAATTTCTCCTTTTTGAAACGGTGCTGTAATTTTCCTATAGCACAATTTACACTTTTAAATGTATAGTTCTATGGGTTTCAACAAACACATACAGTCTTGTAATCACTATCACAATCAAGATATAAATATTTCCATTACCTCAAAAACTTTCCTTGTGCCCTTTTGTTGTCAACTCCTCCCCCATCCTCAGTCCGTGGCAATGACTCAACTGTTCTCTGTCCCTATAGGTTTGCCTTTTCCCAAATGACACACAAATAGAATCATACTGTGTAGCCTTTTGAGTCTGGATCCTTCCACTTAGTAGAATGCATTCGAGATTCACCCATATTGCTGTATGTATTAGTAATTTCTTCCTTTTTATTGCTGAGCAGCATTCCATTGTGTGGATGTACCACAGTTTGTTTAACCATCCACCTGTTGAAAATCTTTTGGGTTGTTTTCAGTTTTTGGCAATTATGACTAAACCCTCTATAAACTTCACATATAGGTTTTTGGTGTGAACATAAATTTTTAATTCATTTAGGTAAATACCTAAAAGTCGGATTGGTAAGTCACATGTTAAGTGCATGTTTAAGTTTGTAAGAAATCGCTGAACTGTCTTCCAAGGTATCGTCTGCGTTCTCAGCAGCAGTGTATGAGAGTTCCAGCTGCTCTGCGTCTTCACCAGTATTTGATATGGTCAGGGTTTTTTCCTTTTAACTTTAGCCATTCTAGTAGATACATAGCAGCAACTCATCACGGTTTTATTTCACATTTCCCTAGTGAGTAACGATGTTAAGCATCTTTTCATAGGCTTATTGGCCATCCATATCTGTTCTTTGATGAAGTATCTGTTCATTTGCCCATTTTTTAACTGTCATTTTAAAATAGTTTGTTTTCTTAATATTGAGTGCCAAGAATTCTTTTTATATTCTGAATAAAAGTCCTTTTTTAGATGTGTTTTGCAAATATTTACTTCCAGTCTATGGCTTGTCTTTTTATTCCCTTAAAATGTCTTTTGAGCAAGTAATTTTTTAAATTTTGATGAAGTTCATCTTAATCTCTGGGTTCTCTTTTCACTTTCACTTTTTTAATTCCTAAAATTATTTATTGAATAAACTAGGTTGTGTACCACACATTGCAGTTGGTTGATGAGTCTCTTAATCACCTTAAATTTCCAGGCGGCTCCTTCATCTTTTTTTCTCACTTTGGTTTTATTCTTTGAAATTTATTCATTAAAGAAACCAGGTCATTTGTCCAAGAGGGTTTTTCTTAGTCTGGAACTTATTGATTGCCAGCTACCCCCATATTTCCTGTAAACTGGTAATTAGATCTGGTTTGATGAGAATCAAGTTCAATTTTTTAGCAAGAATACTTCACAGGTACACTGCAGCCAGCAGAATCACAATGTCTGATGAGCTGACTTTTGGGAATATTAGCTGCCACTGAGAATTATAGCTGTTAATATTTTTTATCAAGCAACAGAACCTGTAAGAAAATATCAAGTTTGTTCTCAAGAATTTTATTCATCTGTTACTATAATTTGACAAAAAAATATTACCACAATACCCTATTGTTTAAGAAACACTCTCTATATAGCCTTTCATTGACCTTCCTGGCAACTTATTTGGCAGGCTTTATTCTTACCTCCACTTTTCACACGAGGTAACTGGAGTTCTGAGATGTTAGGTGATTTGTCTAAAATCATGTGCAGTAGAGAGGTGAGGGAGCCTTCTGAATCTGGATCCCATGTCCTTCACATCAGAAAATATGGCCTCCCTCTCAATTGTATATAAAACGACTCCTTGATTGAGTCATTTGAAAATTTCTGTTGAGCACCTATTAAGTGTCAGATTCTGTTCAAACACTAAAGATAAAGTGGCTAGTAAAACTGACATTGTCTCTGCTGCCTTCGAGTTTACAGTCTAGTGAGAGAGATGGACGTTAAGTAATAAGATCAATAAATACATAATTAGTACCTCCTGTGATTAAATGCTCTCAGATTTTTTTTGTAAGTGTTTTATAACAGTTTTTAAAAAAATTACTCAAATTATTATTTAGCCTAATTCTCCATCTTGCTGCCACCATACCCCATGGAACTTAGACTGGCAACGAAGTGAATATATTTCCTGTCCTTTGAAATTGGAAGGAAGTATCTTCCTCAACACACATGTAACCTCTCTTCAACAGTGAGGAAATAGCAGAATGGATGAAACATATGTACTTGTTAGTCAACTAATGACTTGTCTTATGTATACATCCATACTACATTTCTGCTGAACCTGTCTTTAAAACTCACCTATCAGGAAAACAGCCAATATCCCAGAAGCCAAAAAAGACTAAAATAGATGTTCAGAGAGCAAATATGTCCAAATGCTCAGGAACAAAAATGCACACATTTTGTTCATAGAGGATACCATTTGAACCATTTAAAACCTAAATTCTCTTATTTTCCATACAGTACTTTTGAATGTGGCTTTTCATATCTTAACCTACAACAGAATAGAGGCCACAAATTGAAGTATGGTAATAAGATTGGAATAAGCACATACACGAAAAGCAGCAAGAAATAATTGCCTGCGATTCTGCTGAAAGGAGAGAAAGGAGAAAAATTCAGACAGAAACACTGAAAACACATATCTGCTCTGTGACTACACATTTGATTGGTGCTGAGAGCAGTGCTGTACCTGATGTTTATAATAACATTCTGTAGCATGTAAGAACAAGTGGGTGTGTTCAGTAAATTCTGTTTAAGAAAATAGAAGCATGCGTATTTATCAAAAGTTCTGTTTGACATAGTTAAAACAAAACAAAAAGTGCAGCCAAATCATTTTCAAGCTAAAAAGAGTAACCCTTAGTTACCTGTATTGTTTGGCTTTTTAGAATATTTAATTCCCAGAGGTTTCTGGATAGTCAAGTTTTCTTTGGAAATTTATAGTAGAATTATCCCTAAACAGAATCAGCCATACTTCTTAGAGCATTTGATTAATCAATTAAGTTGACACAGATCCCCAGGAGCACTCTCAATTTGAAGTCAAATTCACCTCTATTTCTGCAGCAAGGGCTCAAAAATAGTCTATGTATTTACAAGAGGGAAACTTTCCGTCTTCCTAAATTATAGTCACCTGCTCAGTGGAGTTCATTTAACGGACATTCACTGTTGCCTCCTGTACCCAGTGCCTCCATTTGCCGCGCTAGGACTGTTCCTTTAAGAGGAACAGACAAGCGTTAGGTAGAACTGGGCTGTGACTGAGCCACTCCTGTGTTCTCTTTCACATATCTGACCAAGAAAAAGATTAGAAACAAGTTCAGAATTTTTGCGTCATTTCTGATTTATTGTCTTTTGATTTAATAAGGCTACGTGAACCAAACTTTATAATTTTAATATAAATAACAGGCTTTCAATGTGGATTTATATAATTTATCACAAAACTACCTGTAAAAATAAGAGTAGATAGGAACTGATAGGTTAACTTCATTCCTAAATGGAGTTAGTAAATTGGCACAATGGTTGTATTAATTAGATGCATGTTCTTTGTTTTTTTTTTTAAAGATTGGCACCTAAGCTAACATCTGTTGCCAATCTTTTTTCTTTTCTTCTCCCCAAAGCCCCCCAGTACATAGTTGTATATTCTAGTTGTGAGTGCCTAGGGTTGTGCTATGTGGGACGCCGCCTCAGCATGGCTTGATGAGTGGTGCCATGTCCACGCCCAGGATCCGAACCAGCGAAGCCCTGAGCTGCAGAAGTGGAGCATGCGAACTTAAGCACTTGGCCATGGGGCTGGCCCAATACATGCTTTCTTGACAAAGCGAATAATAAGGGATGCATCCTTATAGAAAATACAGGAGTGGTTTCATAGATTGTTTAACCTATTGACTGGTGACAGTAAAATAAAAATAATAATAATATCCCCTGATCAATATCAATGATACCCAAAACCAAATTGTAATTTTGGTGTACACCCAATGCTATATAACCTCATTCTGATGAATGAACATTAGCCACCCGGTGAGTTCTCTGGGATACTTCCTTTGTGCCTCCTAATCCAGGCAGGCCCATCTGGATACACTCTGCTCAGAAAGGAACTGGTCCACAGGCCGCACTATGGATTCCTGGAAAGTGCTTTGATAGATATACCTGATACAATTTTGTAATCTTAATGTAGGACCTTTAACAGACAATTGATTTTGTTAACTATTGCCTCCCTCCAAAAGAAAAGAACAACTACTTCAAAATTGTTTTTTAGTTATTAACTCTCAGTCTTTAAACTATTATTAGGAATCAATGTAGCATGACATCTTGTCCACTGACCTAGATTGTACATTTGACAAATAGCCCCTTTTGGAGGCTATCAGAGAGTAGTTCAAAACTTGGTGTTCTTGAGCGTTTTATGTTGAGATTTTATGAGGGAACGTTTACTATGTTGAGACTGGCGTTCAGATATACTGCCTTATAATGTTTTGTCAATTAAAATCATTGTCAAATTACCTGGAAGAAAAACTTGGGGCCCTTTGACATTCCTTATTTTCTAGGGATGATCTTGGTTCTGCCTGTGGAAACTCCCTCACTCACCTCCAAGACGAAGTGGAATGGCTTCAGGAAAATGTCGTTGCTAAATTCTGTATTTTTCACAAGTTATCTGTTCTAATCCCACCTCTTCCCTGCAGGAGCCGTATGATTGTGTCCTTAATTGGCAACGTAGAAGAGTCACTAGCTACTTGTTAAGGAGTACATTCTTGAATTCTTTGTTACTCAAGAATCTATTAAAAGCTCAGCTAAGAGAAACAATGTCCGTGGATGATTTAGGAAAGATCATTCCTTCCTATTTTGTTCCCACTGTATTCCCAGCATCTCTGTCTGGCAAGTTGTAGGTAATCCACAATATTTGTTACTTGAATGAATGCATGAAATTTATCACTGGATTAAGTCTTTCAAATGCTAAGAGATGTATTTCCAGAATATTGTTTTATCCCCTACAGAATTGTTGCCTCTGAATTGTATTTGATATGAAACCCTAGGATTGTATTGAGAATTTCTTTATTAATCCTACTATAGAACTTGTGTTATTAGAATATACACTCTTTCCTTTATGAAGCACCTCAATAATGTTTCCTTTTTGGTCCAAGTATGAGAAATAGTCTTGCTCATCTCGAGACATTGATTTGTGTTATTTTATGGATACCAGGAATTGTGTTATCAATCAGATTTCCCTTTTCCCATTCCCTATCAGAGAGCAAAATTTGTAGCTCAAAATGACAGTATAATTGCATTTTACAATTAATTCATTTCTACTTTTATTTTTGCCCCCATATTTGTTTTTTTCTTTTTCACTCTCATATAATTTGTAGTTTATGATTTATTGGTCTATTTTATTGGTAGTTTATTAGTATATTTTATGTGTCCCTTTAAGTGATCTTAAATCTCTTTTGCAATAAGAGTATTAACAAGTAAAAAATTTAATCCTTCAATTAAGTATAATATGATTATATAGAAGAAATTGATAGTTGGTGATCTCTGCTTTTCAAAGCCACTGAGACCAGAGAATCTTATGGAACATATTTACTGTTTGTTCTACCAACCACCTCCTGCCTTGTTCTGGAAAAAACAGCTCTTTCTTCTGGAAACTGCTCTTCTTTCCACTGCAATCATGCGGTTCTCTGACCAACTCTCCTTCCTAGAAAGTGTTGAGAGTTCCAGGGATGGGCACCAAACCAAGCTCTTCTACTCATTTCTTGGGTTGTTTGTTGGGGAGGGGGGTGTGGTACATGTGAGAGAGTCCTATCCTATGATGGAACTGACATATAAAACTTGGAAACCGTGAGTGATCATATGTCCTGCCACATCGAGAAAGCCTAGCCTAGTGTGAGAAAAAGTTGGCACAGAGCAAAGAGACAGCAAGGGAGAGAGAAGAGAGACTTGGCAGCATTCAAGTTCCCAGTTCTCTTGGCTGGTGGGCCCCGACTGAGTCTTTGCCTTTCATGTAGTTTGGTTATTCACTCCTTCTTTAGATTTTGTAGGACAGCTAATTCTTTTCCTTTTTTCCATGTTGGTTTGAATTGGGTTTCTGTCACTTTCAAGCAAGAGTGCTTACTGGTGTTTTTTGCTTTCCAGCTTTGTTGTGTAAAATCTGGAGCATCAACCTGCTTACAAAGAAAAGCTTTGGCCCTAATCCTAGTCAGTCCCACAGCCTACCTTTGCACAAAGATACGATTTACCCCTCATCTTGGAAAGTATATATCTGACTCTAATTTTCATTGAAAAGACATTCAGTTACACCTGTTATGAATCTGGTGCATAAAACATTTGAATTTTATTTTGCAAAATACCAGTATGGCAGGTTTTTGTCAACAACCTCAAACTCAGATTATTTGCCCTCCTGATGGCATCAAAAGTTGGACTCATATGAGCCCTGATGGCCTAGTGGTTAATGTTTGGCACTGTCACTGCTTCAGTGGCCTGGGTTCATTTCCCAGTCATGGAACCATACTACCTGTCTGTCAGTAGCCATGCTGTGGCCATGGCTCACATCGAAGAATTAGAAGGACTTACAACTAGGATATACGACCATGTACTGGGGCTTTGGGGAAGAAAAAAAAGATAAAGAAGAAGAAGATTGGCAACAGATGTTAGCTCAGGGTGAATCTTTCCCTGAAAAAAAAAAAAGTTGGACTCATACAATAGTAATTGGAGATATGGGGGCATGATAATTAGCATTTTCCAGATTGTTCTCCTATCTCTGTATCAAATCAGCAAAATTCTACATGCATAGGTGGGTACAGTGGAAAGAACACAGACTTTAGATCAGGCAGACCTGGAGCTATGTCTTAGCTCTCCATCTTGGCCAAGTGCCTCAGTCTCTCTCGGTTCCTTCCTAGCTAACTTGTGGAAGAATAGTAGCATACACCTGTGACACTGTGAGAAAAGATGCGTAAAGCCCGTGTACAGTGTCAACACGTAACAAGTAGGAGCTGTTATCACCGTGTTGGCTCCTATAGGAAGACCTTCAGAGGGGCCGGCTCCATGGCCGAGTGGTTAAGTTCGTGCGCTCTGCTTTGGTGGCCCGGGATTTCACTGGTTCGGATCCTGGGCGCGGACATGGCACCGCTCATCAGGCCATGCTGAGGCGGCATCCCACATACCACAACTGGAAGGACCCACAACTGAAAACGTACAACTATGTACCGGGGAGCTATGGGGAGAAAAAGGAAAAATAAAATCTTTTTAAAAAGAAAGACCTGTAAAGAGCTTTAGTAATTTGCCTTCAGCTATCTTAACACGCACAAGCACACACACACACAAAGCTGTAAGTATGTGTCTACATCCTTTGTACAACTATTACTTACATAATTCCCTTTGTAGAAATATCCTTATAATATATCCCTCTTAAGATTTTACCCTAAAGGAAGAATAAAGACACTTCTGAATTGCTGCTTTTCTTTTTTATTCAATGATAAAAGCTATGTGAACTCATCTTGTTCACCATCACTCATCTTCCTTCTTTCTTATCTTTTTTCTCCCCTTAACTTGTGAGAATAGAGCTAAATTTAATGCTCAATTGCATAAAACTAGGTTAAACTATTCACTACCTCCTGAATTACTTAACATTTGTTATTTTATAATTTCAAGGATCATATTGTACGAGTATCTTTGACTTAAGTAAGCATTCTCAAGTTCTTTCTGGAAGTGGGCAGCAGGGTATGAACAATAAACGCAGTAAAGGCCCATGCTATTTTGGCAACCCTCAAATGGAGAATGGCCGAGCCAGGAGTACGCGGGTAGTAGTCCTCACGTTTGACGGTTGTTGGACGCTGTGCTCCTGGCTCCCTGAAGGTCACCCTTTAGGCCGTGACTCTGCATTGGAGCTTCTGTTCTCACTTCTGGAAAAGCTTCATGAAAGGCGCCCCTGTCTTGCAGTCCCTGTATTCCATGCAACCCATCACCTGCCATCCATGAGGAAGAAACACGGGGTCAATCCTTCAACTTGATTCAGGGTGTCCACTGATGAAGGCAACAGCAGACAAAGGAAGGCAGATAGACACATAGTAGACATTGAGAAAACTTACACCTTCCTTATTGACTGAGATCGCCGTTAACCTCTTCTCTCTGAAGAAGGCTTGACGTTCCTTTGTGTATTTGTTCGTCCATTTTCATGACACCCACACCTGTTTGCCTGCCTGCTCCCCCTACTAGAATGAGAGCTCCTTGAGGTTAGAAGCTGTGTCGTACTCCTCTCCCAATCCCCAGCACATCTCACCATACTAGTACATGGTTTTCAAAGTATGTTGAAGGAATAAATGAATGAGCAATAATGGTTATTAAGCATATCCTCAGCATAGCAAGAAGAAAAGATCATTGAGTGACTATTTCACGTATTTCATTGATCTAAAATTCAAGAGGTAAAAACATAGAAATAATTATTTACTACCAGGAATAAAATGTAAATAGAAATTATTCACCACAAATGGTATTTTGTTTTCATTTCCAAGAAGCAGGTTTACTTCGTTTGTCAAGAGCACTTAGTCTCAGGGGGATGTCTTGCATTTAAAGGGAAATAGCTTACACAAGAATTAAGTTCACTTTGTAAATGTCTGGCTATATCTCTTTTTTTTTTTTTTAAATCCTTTTTCTACCTATTTTTCTCTGAAAGAAAAATAAAAGCCAGGAAAGTTTTCTGGGATGGTAGGTTTCAAGTTTCTTCTTCAAGTGTCTTGTGTCATTGTCAGCCCATGTGCCAGCCCAGGAGGCTCTGTTTGGGGTTCAGATTTTCTGGCCCCTAGAGAGCCCCTTGGGACAGTCAGTGTCTGGGCTCCATTCTGCTGCAAGATTGCCCCTGGGCTGCGCACAGTAGTGGCTACTGAGCACTAAGGATCTATCCTTGATCAAAAAGAGAAAGTACGTTCTAGTGGTGAAACATATTGCCATATCCTTTCAAGTAAGGTTTACAAAAAATACTTCACATTTCCAAGTTCCAAAAACTGTTTCCTGACAATTTTCTGATTTCCTGACCATAAATCAACCACACACTCTCTTATTTAGGTCAGAAGCAGCAGGTCTGAATGAGTCAATGTAACCTTTACCTACCGTATTTATCTACATCTCTGGTCCAAGGAATGAATTGGTGTGATTATTTTCCTAGAAGTGGCATCATCCAAAATGTAGGTCAGGACACCTGGGCAAAAGCTTGAGAGAATTAATTTCTCTATCTTTTTTACTATTTTAGGAAAGAATTCTGCTCTGTGTAACTAATTTCAAATAATGCTCCATGGGTGTTTTCTTTTTCTTTACATTACAATATACTCTCTCAGGTACAGATGCTTTCCGGCCTCTGACTGTTGTTAATTGGGCTTTAAAGGCACAAACAAGACCAAAGTAGCATTACAAAGGGACAGCGATCGTGAGAGACAATACCATGTGTCCACTGGGCTGGGCCACGGTACCCAGAGAATCAGCCAAACATTATTCTAGATGTTTCTGTGAAGGCATTTTTTTAGATGAGATTGACATTTAAATCTGTAAACTTTGAGGAAAGCAGATTAACTCTCCTTAGTGTGGGTGGGCCTCACCCAATCAGTGGAAGGCCTTGGTAGAAAAAGACTGACTTCTCTGGAAGAAAAGGGAATTCTGCCAGCAAATAGCCTTTGGACCTGAACTGCAGCTCCTTCCTGAGTCTCCAGCCTGCTGGCCTACTGTTCAGGTTTTGGACTTGCCAGCCTCCACAGTTACGTGAGCCATTCCTTAAAATAAATCTCTCTCTCTCTCTGAGATATATATATATATATATCAGAAGAGATTTTATATATACATAAAACTTTATATATTACATATATTTATAATAAAAGTTATCTATCTATCTATCTATCTCCTGTTGGTTCTGCTTCCCTGGAGAAGCCTGAGTAATACAGTGGCCTTTTATTCTATTTGGTCGATGGAATCTGAACAACCTCAAGGGGTGATGCCAGGTGGGCCTCTTTGTTTTATTTATCTGCTTTCACAATGAGTTACAGTGTATTAAACACCAGGGGAAGTAGTTTATTTAAAGCCAGGAATAATTTTTAATCTACTTATTCAAAAAATTGCACATTTCTGCTACGGAGCCGGTAACTGCATGTATACTGACCACTGTTCTTTCTTTTAGGTTCACAAGTGTTTATTA